GGACCAGATGCAACACCCCACAGCCATTCATTGCTCTGGATTGAGGTCAAACCTGATGTCCTGCCACCACACGAATGAACGCTGGCAATCTCATTTCCTCACTCTCATCGCCCGCCCACGCAAACCACAACGGCGCCACCTAACCCACTGCCCACAACACGACCAGAGCCCGTGTACAGGGCGCGCGCTACATCGCAGGGATTGACGGAAGGACAAATGAAGCGCTTACACCTCCATCACGGCATACGTCACGTCAGTCAGTCAGTCAGTCAGTCAGTCGATCGGTCAAGGTGGGGATGCAGAGACGACCATGGCCGTTGTCACCAACCCACTAAATGGGTCAACCCACTAAATGGGTTCATTCAGCTACACCGCTCCCTCCCCTGCCCTCCCCCGTCAGTGAAGGCACCCCACTCGCCCCTCGCCTCGCCCGCGCCTCCCTGAAGAAGGTGCGGAGCAGCTGCCTGGCCTCCGTGGCCATGACGCCCCCCCTCACAGCCATCTGGTGGAAGGGATGCTTCGGCTCGGTGGCCAGCGACACCCAGCTGCCCGCACCGCCCATTCTGTTGTCTGACGCGCCGTAGACGAGTGTGTGGATGCGCGCCAGCTGCATGGCGCCCACACACATGGGGCAGGGCTCCAGCGTCGTGTAGAGGGTGCAGTTTAACAGACGCCACGTACCTGCACGTCGACACACAAGCATACATCAACGGGAGATGGCTGTCCTCTGCCTGTGATTGTTCATTCAGTGCCTGCAGCACACCGAGTATCTGAGAGGCTTCGCGGATGCACTGCAGCTCGGCGTGTGCGGTGGCGTCGTGGGCGGCCTCCACGCCATTTCTGCCCACTGATAGGACCTCACCTGTGAAGACACACACATTCTTGCCTGCACACGTCTGCTTCCTTTTTGTGCTGACCTTGCCCATCCACGAGCACAGCGCCAATGGGCACCTCTCCTCTCTCAGCCGCCATGGCCGCCTGCTGCAGCGCCAGCCTCATGTACCGCTCATCGGATGGATGTGTGTCTGCCGCGCAATGCCGCCTCATCCAGCACTGCCGACTCCTCGACGACGTCCTCATGTGCTGCCAATGAACCGGGGCGCCATCTGCAGGCCGGGTGACCACAAAGCAGTGAGCCGTCATGCTGAATGTGGTGATGGCGAGGCACAAGGATAGCAGGAAGCTTCTCCAGCCGGGAAATGGTTTTTTGTTTGGCATCAAGATGGATGAGTCGCTATGGTCTCTGGCATGCTGACGGGTCACTCCACCAAGGAATCAGCGCCTCGAAGTGCCAGATCTGGGCCCTTCATTACGGATCGCAATCATCTGCGAGCTTGCAAGTGATGAAGATCTGCATCCAAGAATGGCTGTGGCGATGAGTGCCCTGCTGTCGATGCTGCATTTGCCTTTTCTTCATCATTCGATGGATGGAACACTGCAGTCGGCGCGCCGTCCTTCCCTCTCTCAGCCGAGCTCTCCGCCGGGGCTTCGCATGAGAGGCGATGCGTCGTGGTGGTCCTCTCCCCTGGCCTCGCACCTGCCGTTGAGCCGCCTGCTGTGGAAACAAGGGCTCAAGGTGCGCAATGGACGAGCTCAATACACATCGTCCTTCCGTATGTTTGGCTGTTGTCTGTCAGATAGCCTGGCGGCAGGGCTGTGGACGCCACATGTGGCAACGGGAAGGACTCTCTCTTTCTCAGCACGCTGATCTTCCCATCTGATGGCGATGATGAGACGGAGGCCGAGCTGATCTGCATCGATGTCCAGCGAGAAGCTATCGGTGGGTGAGTCAGCAGCCGTGAGGTACACACACTTGACACCGCCACTTTGCTGTGTGCTGTTTGCTTCGTTGCAGGTTCGACCCGGTCCCTCCTCGCCGAAGAGTTACGACCACCACATTTGGAGAGGTAGGTCGTCACAGAGACCAGCCAGGCGGCCTTGAGCTCGTTGACACATTAATCAATTGTGTGATGTATCGCCCCTGCTGTCCGTCCTTAGGATCCGTTTATTCCACCAAAGCCACGAGAGGTTCCCTGACTGCATCGCCGACAACAGCGTCGATGTGATAGTGTACAACCTCGGGTCAGTTCTGCAGCAATTCAGTGCCTTCATACGTCATGCATTGATCACGTGTGTGTGATGTACGTACAAATGTGTGGTGTGGTGTGGTGTTAGGTATCTGCCTGGGGGAGACAAGAGCGTGACGACGCGCCACGACACCACCATCACGTCGCTGACGGCTGCTCTTAAGCTCATTGTCAAGGGCGGCCTCATATCGGTCATGCTCTACAGGTCAGAAGTGACGCACACAGACGTCCAGCTTGCTGATATGCCCTGCTGTGTCGTGTTGTGCGTTTCTGCAGGGGCCATCCCGAGGGCACGGTTGAGTCGGATGGCGTCATCAGCTGGGCCTCGCAGCTTCCGGCCGACGAGTGGCGTGTGTTTCTGCATGAGCCGCTTAATAGGCCGACGTCGCCTGCCCTGATGACTTTGTATAGACTCTAAGATGAAGGACAGATGTGTGCCTGTTGTGGCTGGGAGGGTGGGTGAGTGAGGTGGTCCATGGTCGGGTGTGCGCATGATCGGAACGCGTAGGGCGACGAGAGAGATGAGACGTGCCTGACGACTTGATGCAGCTACGGATGGCTTGGCCATTCATCGGATGGTTTGGCGATTCATCGCAAAGTGGGTGTGTGCAGTGATGGTATGTACAGTCTGGTGTTCGTGGGATATTTTCTTCACGGATTGACCCAAGCAACGGTTTCACCCATCCGTCAGCCAGTCCCAGTCTTCCCTCCGTCCCGCATGCACGTCAGTCCGGTGACGTCCCTCACCCATGCAGCCACCCATCCATCCGTCCACCCATTGCGCACACTCACTACAGCAGCCAGAAAAACACACGACGTCACACCCACACATAACACATCCAGCCATTGATTGTCACCGCAGCCAACCAGAGACAATCGAAAAACTGCCAGCTTACGACGGACAGACACTCAACCACAAAGGTGTGAAAAGGGTGTGGTCCTAGCATAGCAGACTGATATCAAACCAGCCAGCTGCTTGAAAGAGAAAGGGAGAGCGTTGACGGGCTGTCTGTCTGTCTTTCTCTACTGTACACACGTCTGTCTGTCCCCACTGAATCTATCCGCTGAACCCATCCACCCGCTGAAACCAACGATCCATCCGTCGACCTGCACAACACAGCTCATGCAAGACGTAAGTGAGCGCATTGGTTTCTCGTGTCTCGCCTCTCCCTCCCTCACTCCCTCACTCACCCGTGCTGTGTGTGTGTGTTTAGTAGCGAGTCGTCTTGCCCTTCTTCTTCTTGCCCTTCTTCTTGTTGGCCTCCTTCTCGACAGCCGGCGCGGGCCTGGGGTCAATCTCGTCATCTCCCGGCGAGTCAGGCGACGAGGACTGCTCCTGGGCAACTGCACACACGCACAACACCCACACCCACACACGACACCAGGCATGAGAATCGATTCATTGCGGGAGGGACACATGGCTGGATATGTACTTGCTTACCGCGAGAGTTGAAGTTCTGCAGGGCCGCCCCCTTAAGGAGGAAGGATAGAGCAGAATATACACAAACACACACAGTGGTTGTTGGCATGCACGTAGAAATGTGTGTATGTGTTTTCTTCCTCTCTGTCGCTTGCGTGCATCCGTACGGCCGCGGCGCCCTGAAATGCACGCCAGCATGTGTGTGTATGTGTGTGTGTGTGGTGGGTCTTCTCCCTCTGCGCACCTGTGCGGTGTCGTACTGAGCCGCGTCCTGACACACAACGAACTCATCCGCATGTGACTGGGTGGCTGTGTGTGTGTGTGTGGGGGGGGGGGGAGGTACCTCCAACTTGGGGAGGTAGATGTCGCCGTACGTGTCGTCGTTCAGCTTCTTGGCCAGCCACGTGTTCGTGTGCCAGTCGAGATACCACTCAAACCCCTCGTAGTCGCGGTAGTCGGAGTTCTCGGCCTCGGGGATGCTCTTGAGGTACTCGAACCAGGAACGCTGCACGAAGGCAGGCAGGCCGACACACAAAGAGTGAGGGGCGAGCTGCTGGTTGGTGGAGTCCTTTTGTCTGTCTGTGTGCCCCCACCATCATCGGCATGGGACTGATGGTGCGGAACATCGTTTTCTCAAACGAGAGCTCGGCGTCAAACTCACTGCAGCAGCCCAGCACCCATTCAAACCAACACACACACACACACATACACACATGTGCCCGTTTGTATGTGTGTATGTGTGGCGGCCGGCCGGCCGGCCGTACAGGTACCATTGCGCCCCGGCGAAGGGTCTAAGTGTTGTGTCGATGATGTTGACCAGCGGGCAGAACACCTTGGGGGCCCAGGGCGAAAGCAACTCGACATACTGACATGACGCAAACACAGAGAGAGAAGCAAGGGACGCCACACACGCAGCTGTGTACACATGTCATCCACAGGTACACACGCGAATAGCGGCGCACCTGTTTCTTGTTGATGTACGTGAAGGCCATGAAGTAGTTCTGCCCAGCGAACGGCTCGCTGCCACAGGGCCCCTTGCGGCCACGACACGTCGAACTGTCCGCATGCGCGCACCCACACACACACACATGCAGGGGAAGAACACATTCACACACGCGATGACCATGAGTCTGGTTGTCCGTCGGTCTGTCTGTCTGTCTGTCTGTCTGTCTTGCGTGTGTGTATGTGCTGTACATCCCCACCTGCTCACGAGCTCTATTTTGATCCCCTCGTCCTTCTTGAGCTCAACTTCCTCCATCACCAGGTGGATGGATGAAGGCATAGCACATGTGCGGGCACGTCTGTGAGTGCATGTTCATCTGCATGTGTCTGTACCATGAGACCCTTGCAGATTTTCCAGTAGTGGAGCACACCCGACACACCCGTCACCAACGCACTGCCCTTCGCTGTGTGACATGGACAACCACACACACAGACAAATGCGCGCGTGGTTGTGGTCAGGTTTGTTTGTTCGGTCTTACACTCCGTGTCCATGGCCACCATCGTCCAGTTTTTGGCGAGCTCCATGCCACTGCACCCGGGGTGCAGGGGCGGCCAGTCGCCACGGCACACGAGGGGCAACTGACCTGACACTACACACACACACACACACACTCTTGTGTTTCATCCGGACCACGCACATCAGTGTGTGAGTGTTATGTGGTCTCACGCAGTTCGATGAACTGCAGCAGCACTTGAAGCTGGTACCTGCACACAGCACACACACACACCGGACATACATTCATACAGCGGGCCACCTGCTTTGTCCAGTCACTTGGATAGGCCCTTGAGATCCTCGTAGTCGATTGCGGGGGGGTGCTTCTTCTTACGGCGAATCGTATCCGCGACCTCCTGCAACCACGATGGACGGACAGCACACGTGCAGCAATGTGCGCATTGCAAGGCAGCAGCCCCATCCCTCCCTCCCTCCCTCCTCCCCTCCCTGGTGACATGGATCTCTCCCTCCCTCACCTCCTCCTTGTGCATCTTGACCAGATCCGAGCAGGCCGTGGTGGTGGTGCCGGGCTGGTTGGTCATGACGCACTGACGGACTGCAGGAGAAGGGTGGCCTCCGTGCAAGCGACACAGGGGAGGAACTTGCGGGGCCTCCACCAAACGTATGGGTCGGCGGGTGCCTTTTGCGGGCAAAACCAGACAGAGTGACCTTTGCCAGACTCACGGACGAAAGAAATTGCCTCTGCAGAGTTTCGGCCGCGATTGAGAATCCTTGTCGAGCTCGTAAATTCTTGGGAGGCCTGTGAAAATGGTCGATGAGGTTGGCGTGGTTGTGCAGGACACGTATGAGATTGTAGAGAAGATCGGCGAGGGCGGGTAAGGAATGAAAAAGGCCTTCCGACGTCACACATTTGATCTGTCTGCACGGCATTGTATGATGGTGTTGCAGGTGCGGAACGACGTACAAAGCCAAGCACCCCGCTCACGATGATTTGTTTGCACTCAAGAAGATGATGAAGTGAGGCCGCAAAGCGAGCACTCGTGCTGAGCAGCGCATGTATCTGGATGGGTCTGTCCTTCCACCTCATGGCCATACGTCAGGCAAGACAACATCCCCCGGTCGGTGTTCGACATCTACAAGCTCCTTTGTCGAGCGCAACACGGCAACATCGGCAAGATAGTTAAGGTGAGCACATGCGCACGACGTCAAAAGGCGTGGCATGCGGTTGTTTGTTTGTTTGTGTGTGTGTGTGTGGTAAGGTTATCGAGGAGGATGACTGCTACTGGGTGGTGATGGAGTTCATCGATGGGGAGCCGGTTGAGGACTACATCGATGATGAGGAGGAGGACAGTGAGGAGGAGGAGGAGGAGGAGGATGATGAGGATGATGGGGAGGAGGACAGCAAGGACGGTGATAAGGAGGAGGACAGTAAGGACAGCAAGACCATCTCCGTAGACGACTTCTGGCAGGTCGTGCGGGGGGTCCTCAGGGGCCTCAGGTACCTTCACGAGGATCGCAAGGTGAGCGAGTCATCTTCCACCCGCCATCCCTCCCTCCCCTGCACACACTGCAGGCAATGGCCGGTTGTCTGTCTGTCTGTCTGTCTGTCTGTCTGCAGGTGTATCATCGTGACGTGAAGGCCGACAATGTGATGATCACCTTCATAGATGATCAGCTGCGCCACGTGAGGCTGATTGACTTTGACCTCTGCCATGAGATCGGCAAGCCCATGACGGTCATACCCAGCGAGAACGCCGTCCCCATTGGCACACTCCGCTACAAGGTGCGCCACCGAAGGACCGACCAACGCACACACACGCCTTCAACTGGTATGTATGCCCATCAGGCTCCCGAGTTGTATGCTGGCCATTTCGACAAGAGGTCTGACCTGTTTGCTGTGGGCGTCATAGCGTACGAACAGCATAACACAGCACTGACGCAAAGCAGCGCCGGCCACAGCCGAATGGGCACGTGTGTGTGTGTGAGACCTTGGTTGCTGCAGGTGGCGGCTGATAACAGGCAAGTGGCCGTATAAGTTGACCGACGAGAAGGAGGAGCAGATGGACAACTACGCGATCCGGGAGACCATCACCGAACAGCTGCAGCAGAGCCTCAGCAACCAGGTGGGTAGGGTCACGTATGGACGGACGGACGGACGGACGCATTGAACAGCCAGCACAACCACTCATTCATATGCACTCTCCTTTGTTTGTATGCTCGCACTGTGTTCAGGACGAGACGGTTGCGAGCAAGCTGGCGATGTACCCGGGAGCCTCTTCTTTGTTGCCCCTGCTGCTGTCCCCCGACCCCAACGACAGAGCACCATCAGGTCACTCTTAATCAGACAGCCATACAGACAGCCCAGCTGTGTGCGTGTCTGTCTTGTGCATTCTTTGATGACAATGAATGCAGCAATCGAGGCCTTATGGCATCTGGCTGGAATCCAAAGGGCAAGAAGCGAGGCTTGATCTGCCCTTTGGATCCAGCCAAAGCGCTCGTCTGCCGACCTCCGCCAGCAGGCGGCTGGATGTGGGCGTAGCGTACGAATGGTCTGGTTGCCTGGCTGCGGCCAAGACGAGAAGTCAGCCTGGAGAGGGGAGGGGAGGGGACGGGAGAAGGGCTGTCCATGCCTGTGCATAGTGGGAATGCGATTGCGGACACTGCCAAAATGAATGTGGATGTCTGACTCATCTACCACTGCAAGCAAAGGCAGCAGTATATCTACATCGACATCGCGTCACCAAATTCAGCATCCATGCTCTCAAAAGAAAGAAACTCCCTTGTCTGTGTATGCATGTTTCCGGGCAATATGGCATTAAAACAATGGCAGCAGCAATGGCAGCAGCAAAAGGCCTATATGAGCTTGGGCTCTGGCACATGCCACTCAACCCCGACTCCGCCAAGATAGATGAGATCGAGGGAGGTACGCAGGAAAGGCCGTCTCACGATGGCTGGGAGCGAGGAGGGCCATAGGGAGGCAGGACAGGACAGGAGGGACAGAGGAGCGGACACGCGTGTGCATGCGTCGACGGAGAGCACAGTCGCCTTCATTTCCTTCTTCTCTGTGTGTGCTGTGCGTCGCTCACAATGCTGCACTACAGTTATAGCGGCCTTCCCCACGCTCGATGAAGCGCTCAACGAGGAGCTAATGTCCTTCATCGAGGACCGCGACCAGGCCAAGGGTGACAAAACTCCCGTCAATGTATGTGGACACGCACATGCTCTCTCTGTCTATGCAGAGTACATTCTGAAGCTCGAGGAGCGCACCGAGGAGCTGGACGACCTCTGGCGCAAAGTCCGTGGTGAGTGTCAGTTGCACAATGGGGTCAGAGCAGCCACACGCGAGGAGAGACAGACAATCTCTTTATCGATTCTTTGCGGCATGTCTGTGCGTATCCGCCATCCATGCCGGCAGACGAGAAGAGGGAGCTTGAGCAGCAGCTGAGGGAAGAGCTGCAGAAGTACCGTGACGACATCGCTGCCAGGGAGGAGGCCCTGCAGACCATGGCTGCCCAGCGAGACAGCTTAGCCAAGTCGGTGTCGACTCTCAGCGAGGACCTCCGCAAGCAGGCCGACGAGGTGCTGGCGGCCAAGAGGGCAATGCAAGAGGCCAATGAAGCCAAGCTGGACGCGGAGAGGGACAAGGAGCGAGCAGTGGCGTCCCTCACCCACACCACGCGCGACAAGATCAGGCGCTTGGAGTCCGCCAACCATAGCCTCGAGGCACAGAGCGCCGAGATTCCTCGTCTGAAGCAGCAATTCAGCGAGCAGCTGGGCAGCGAACGAAAAGCCGCAGAAGCCGCAAGAAAGGAGAAGGACGACCTACAGCGCGATCGCAACCAGCTGGCCGAGAGGCTGGATCACGAGACAAGTGCACTGGAGTCGGCTCGGGCCAAGCTCGATCAAACGAGGCGAGAGAAGGCTGAAGTGGAGGCCAAGGACATCGAGACATCATCCAAGATGGCCAGCCTCAAGGCACAGCTGGAGGGAGAGACGGCCGCACTGGAGGAAGCAAGAGAGGAGGCGCGGGCGGCCAAGGAAAGACAAGAAGAGCTTCTCAGTCAGGACGCACAAAATGCCGTCACCCTTGCGGAGATGACAGAGAAGCTCCACAAGCAGGCTGAGGGCGTCGCTGCGGCAGAGAGGGCTCTTCATCAGGCCGAAGAGGAGAGGGACCGCTTGGCCGAGCAGCACAAGGATGCCGCTGACACGATTGAGGAGCTCACCAAGGAGGTCAAGAGCGCCACTGAGGCTCTGCGCAAGGCCGAGGAGGGCATGGAGGCGATTGCTCATGAGAGGGATGTCCTGGCCGACAGGCTGGCGAGCTACCAGGGGATGCCGCCCCTGCAGCCCACCCACACACCCCACTGCCCCATGGCCCCCCAGCACCCCCCCATGCAGCAGCACCCCGCCCCTTTTCCGCCGCATCCCAACGTTCTCCCCACACCAGCCTTCGGCAATCCCAACGCTCCCTCCATCCAGCAGCAGCCCAAGGGTGGCATGGTCCAGGCCGCCAACGGGTATGGGGGCGGTCATGGCTCGCCGCAGTTGCAGCCCCAGCAGCCAGGGGGTGGAGGTGGGGGATATGGCTGTGTGAGCGGCTACTGGTCGCCCCCGCTAAATCTACTAGTCGCCCCTGCAATTCACGGATATGGTGAGCGGAAGGAACAAGGAGACAGCGGCACACGCCCAAGAAGGCAGACACGCGAGGCCTTTCTCCTGTCTGTTCTGCAGGTGGGTCGCCCTTTCAAGGCCACCCTGCGCCGAGCCCGCCTCTGCAGAATCTGGTGAGACATCCCTCTGACATGCATTGAACATGTTAGTTACAGCAATGAGTATCTACCGTCTGTCAGGGGTTCGTCGATGCGCTGGCTGCACATGGAGGGGCCATGGCGGCGGATCCGTCATCTGCAGTGTGACCCATGGGCCAGGGAGTGTTGGTCGGGGGCAGCAGCACGCAACACCACTACCAGAGTAAGCAAGCCAACACAACACAAATGTGACGAAACGATTGCGATGAACACATGCTTTCGATCCGTCTTTGCGACGTGTGTGCAGATCAGCCACTCGCAGCGTCATCGCATCGTGGTGGCGGTCACGATGGCCACCCGTCCTACGGCGCCGGGAGCCCCTTCCAGCAGCCGGCCAATCCGTGGCCCCACATGACCCCCGCCATTGCACAGCGCGGCCACGAGATAGACATTGACCCTCTGGCGGGGCTAGACAGCGTCTCGTCGCGACCGCCTTTTGACCATAACGCCCACAGAATGCCGCCACAGAGGTGAGCTACTGATTGACACTCACGACAGACACCACAAGCTGAGCTGTCCTTCATGCCCTCTCTCTCCCTTTGTGTGTCTCTGTACCAGTCATGTCGATCAGCTGCCGCGTCAGCAGCGGCCCCAGAACGGCTCGCAGGGAATCGGCATGGGTCTGTGGCTGGGCAGCCCCCCACAACAGCAGCAGCAGACGGGCGTGAGGGCATCTTCGCCCGACGACTGGCTCAGCCCGCCCCCAGGCAGTGCAGTGCCGCCCTTCTCCCCTTACGGACAGCCTGCTGGTGGTGGTGCGATGGGCGACGGTTTGTTCGATGCTCCGCGCGGTGCCGTGGACATGAGTCTGTATGGTGTTGGGCCGCCGGTGGCGTATGTGGAGACGGGAGTGCGGTCGGGCGGCAGTGGGGGCGGTATGAGGACGGGCAGCGGCGGGAGCGGCCACGGCTCACAGGCGTCCGGTGGCATGGCTGCTACGAACGATCCTGACGCCATCTCTGCTGGTACGTCGGGCGGAGAGAGGGAGGGAGAAGACCATCAGTGAGATGGGGCGGATACACTATGCTTATTCCTCTTGTGTGTGTGTGTGTGTGCAGACAGGAGTGGGTACGAGCTGTTCCCTCGCTCAGAGGCCCCCGGCGGTCTATTCGGTCGTCTCGGTCCCGCCGCCAGCCGCCCCCAGCCGTCTCATCCGCCATTCCCTCCACGAGCGTCTCCCTTCCCGCCCCTCATGCCCTCACATGACGCCGCCCAAGCGCCGCATCTCCACCCACACCCAGCTCCTGCCATCGGCGCCGCATCGTCTGCTGCCGACCCAAATCTGTTGTTTGGGAACTGGACCAATCGGCTCGGTGGGTATGGCGGTCAGCCTGAGGACCACCGTGCGGCGGCAGCGGCGACGGCATCGGAGAGCCATCGCCACGTGCAGGGAAGGAGGGGGCTCGGTTCGGCGAGGAGAGAGGGCAGAGGAGCTGGTGGCCTCTTTGGCGGCGGGCAGACGTCAGCAGCACGAGAGCCGCACCAGATGCGGGACAGGTCGCAGAGCCCCCCTCAGAAGAAGGGGTGCCTCTGCGGCCTGTGGTGCTGAGGGCTTCGGCCCTCAGCACCCCACGAAGCCCCCACAGATGGGGGCTGGGGGGGGGGAGGGGTGCGTAGCCGTGGTGGAGCGATCAGGTGCGTCATGCACCGCACCCTTTAGTCTCGGCGATCGACGGGCGAGGCCATCCGGCGGACCCGTTGGTCGCAGCAACCCACACAAGAAGGCCAGCTCCACTACGAGCGAGATACTCTGCAGCCGCCCTACCTCCCCTCCCCAGGCGCACCATTCGGCCTCCGACCGGCGGCATCACGAGTAGCGTGCATGGGGACTACTGCTTTGCCATCACGCCTGTCAAAACCATCAAGGAGGGAGAGCAGCTCAGGTGGGCAGCAGAGACACTCCTGATGGGATATGCACTGCACAGCCGACACACACATGAGTGAATGCTGGCTCTCGTCTCGTGGTGTGTGTTATGTGGGTGCTGCAGGTGGTCGACCGTGAGAAGGCCGACCACTGGTTCTTCTCAAAGGACGACGACAGCAGCTGGCCCATCATCCAATCCCCCCATGGAGCCCCGACTTCGATGCCGACGACCCATCGCAGCGCTTCATCCCCGAGGGCAAGAAATAGAAGGGCGGCAAGAAGAATGACCCTCACTCACAGTCGCGCCCACCGCACCCCCCAGACCCAGGCTGAGGGCGGCGAGCCCAGTGGGGAGGGCGGGGTCCCGTCGTGCAGCGGTTCGGACGGCCGTGCGTCCAAGAAGGCTAGGAGTGCTGGCAGCGCCAAGGAACGGGGAGGGGACAATCCGCGCAAGGAGGACGAAGACGCTCCTGCTGCTGCTGCTGCTGCTGCCGGTGAGAGAGGCGACGAGGAGACACACATGATAAGTGAATGTATTCGCATCCCGATTTGTGTCATTTCCTTCCTCAGGCTCATGTGAGCAGTCAGCTGCCGCAGCGGCGGCGTCATCGTCTTGGTTCGAGGCCGCCAAGCCCTTATCCACCGCTCTGCCGGCCGAGTACTGTACCATCCCTCTGAGCCTCTGGCGTTAAGGGCGTGCCGGAGCGATGCGTGGAGGTGCAGGGGGGACATGCGCATCAACTGAGATCAGGGATAGCGATGACGAGAATTCAACCAGACGGACACGTAAGGCACACGAGGGAGGGGGGGCGAGACGGGACAATGGCGATCTGATCTGATGGGTGCCGGTCTGTGTCTGTGTCTGTGTCTGCAGAGTTTGTGTGGGGCAGGGTAGCAAGAAGGACGCCGCCAACGAGGCGACGAAAGCGCCGACGACAGCCATGACGGTACGCACACCACACAGCGATGGGGAAACGAACACAGCACACAAACAAGCTTCTCCCTCCCGTGTCTTTCGTGTCGATCAGAGGAGGTGCGGTGCGCATGTTGGACCACCCGCCATTGCTGGCAAGCGCGCCCGTGTCATCCTACTCGGGGCAAAGCGGCGTGTGGCACTCCGCGAGGAGGACGACGATGGGTCCCTCCGGCGTCGGTTCGACGTCACCGTCACCTCCTCCCCCCATCCCTCTCGCGAGAACCAGCTGGGTGTGGTGTGGCACGAGGACCAGCTGCAGTACGTGTTGGTGCGGGGCCACCGCAGCCCCAAGATCCTGCACAAGACACGGCCCCGCTCCGACACCATCGCCTCCCTCAAAATCGCCCTCTACTCCCTCCTCAAGCACCCCGACAAGTACCGCGCTGTGCAGGCCGCAGACCAGACGTTCCTCCGCACACTCGCACACAAGCAACAGAAGAAGGCGGCGCAGCAGCAGGAGCAAATCATCATCCAGGAGGGCAAGGAGGTGGCTGAGGGAGCTGCCGCGCCGGCCCCGCCATCCTACGGCATTGACGAGCAGCCCCTATCGGCTCAGGTGCAGGTGGATCAGCCCCGAGAGGAGCTCCCCAAACAACTACCCATCCCACACTGGACCCACAGCAAGAAATCGAAGACTTTGAGTAAGTCAGACACAGACGCGCACACTCATCCAGACCGCCATCCCATGAACTGTCTCTCTGCCGCTTGTTTCTCTCTCGTGTGTGTCAGGCCGGTCGAGGTGTCGCCGCGTGAGGTGCCCAGGAAGGCCAGCGTCACCCAACTTCCACCCGCACCACAGGAACAGTTGCGGCAGCAGGAGGTTGCCGTACCCACTCCATCCCTCGTCCCAGCAGCTGCTGCTGCAGGCCAGGCACAGCCACCAGCCCCGACCACCGGC